GGTCATGTCTGAGCTGACTCTGGGCCAGTTGTGGGACGTGGACTTGCAGAAGAATGAAGCAATCATCCGGGAGGTCTTCCTGGTGGCTCAGGGTGAAAAGGCCTTGGAGGAGTTTCTCAAGCAGGTTACCGAAGTCTGGAAGACCTACGAGTTGGACCTCGTTGTCTACCAGAACCGTTGTCGTCTGATTCGCGGGTGGGATGACCTCTTCAACCGCGTTAAGGAACACATTAACAGCGTGACTGCAATGAAATTGTCACCATACTTTAAAGTGAGCTACCCCCCTCCCCCTTCTGGCATGTATACCCAACCCTGTGCGTATTTTAGGTTTGCGAATGCGCTAACCTTTTCTGGTTGTGACTCTTTTAGCAATTCGAAGAGGAGGCGCTTGCCTGGGAAGATCGTCTCAATCGTATAAATGCTCTCTTCGACGTCTGGATTGACGTTCAGCGTCGTTGGGTTTACCTCGACGGTATATTTTCCGGTTCAGCCGACATCAAGACCCTGCTGGCCCAAGAGTCTCAGCGCTTCTCCACTGTGAGCACTGAATTCCTCGGATTGTTGAAAAAGGTTTCCAAGTCACCCCTGGTGATGGACGTCCTTAACATTCCCAACGTGCAGAGACAGCTTGAACGACTGGCTGATCTGCTCTCGAAAATCCAGAGATCGCTCGGCGAGTATTTGGAACGCCAACGGTCCTCGTTCCCGAGGTATGTGAAAGGCGGCACATATTGTGTTCTTCTGTCCCCGTATCCTACTTCCTTCGCATTTCTCCTAGATAGACCGCCAGGGGCAAGGAGCGATGGAAATCCCGACGTGCGTTAAATGGCGTAGCCACACCAACCTAATCGTCTCTTCAAATTCCGTAGCAATCTGGTTGATTGATTTGCGCCGTATGTCGGGCCGTAAATCTAGTCAGATCGGGACCGTTCTGGAATACTTAGATAAAATTGGTGGCTCTATAACTTCTGTACCTATCAAAAAGCGATAATCATTCCCTCTCTGTGGCATTTTGGGACATGTTGAAAAGCGTTGAAGCCGCATGCTCACACTAGCGGGAAGACAAGCAGGTAGCAAAACATGGTACCGTACGGCCAAAATGGAAGGTTGAACTCATCAGGTAATGCGCTTCCGACGATAGTGCTCTAAAACGGCAACAACCAGATGGATTATCGCCAACCGCCGAGGGAAATGTGTACACAGACGATGAGAAAAGCAAAGCGGGCATTAGACCTGTCATACAGTCGACACAGCCCGCATGTGACGATTCTCGACACCCAGTCAAATTCTAGCTCTTGCCTGGAAGGAAGAATGCTGCGAAAGTGGGATAGTGAAGAAGGCGAGAAAGCTTATCTGAGCGAATGAATATGTCACGTGAACGGGCCCTATCACAGAAGAGTCGCGTATTATGCATATTTTTAGTGGTGCGTTTTCAAAGCCGACCAGGGATGTTTGAAGGTGAACAGTAGGTAGAAG